TGGCTGGCTGAGGAATTCTGGGAGTTGAAGTCCACATGTCTTAAAGTTGCCAAGGGTGGAAAAACACTGGCCTACAGCAAAAATGGATTCTGCTTTGCGGGATTTTTCAGATGGGGCTGGAGGGCCGCCTGTTGGGGAGGGTTTAGCACAGAGTTTCTCCAGCTTTATATAGCTTCTGGGGTCCAGTTTTTCTGCATCTTTTTTGCTACTTAAAAATATAAATCCATACAAGACCCATTGAAAACAAATACTGTACATTTTCACTTGTTATTTAAACTTGCAAGTTTCAAGGCACTGATCACGTGTGCACTTTGTAGCTTTTAAATAAGAAAGAAATAGGATAGGGGAAGTTTTGCATTAAGTAGTTACTTTATGTTAGGAGCAAAAGAAAACAGTTTCATTCTCAAATTTGGGTCAATGTTCAGTTTATTTCCATACTTATTTTTGGGGAAAATCAAGGAAGAAAAACCATGTCATATTTTTATGTTGTGACAAAAGACATCAAGAAATTGCAGTGTCATAAAGATGTGACTATTCATGTCTACAGTTCAAGCAATTATAATAAAGGGCAGTTTTTCAACGTTTCTTTTAAGGCAGTATCACAGGAAAGTTCTTTTAATGAATTTACTTCTGATGTAGTCAGTTGCATTTTTCTCATCTTGGGGGGAAGTAATTAATGGGTTGTTAATCCACATTTTTCCAGTGTCAGTTGGAGGAAAATATTCATTTCAGTCTGATGTAAGCTCATACCAAAATCATATTTAAGGTATTAGTTTCACCACATTTCTCCTGCAATTCAGTTAAAGTAGAAAAAATATTTAAATCTTCTCTTGTCAACTTGCTTTGTCCATAAACAAAGTTTTTAAATTGTTACTTCAACTTTTTTGGGAACTTTGAGAATACTAATTTTAGTGCCTTGTAAATCCAGTTTTAACTCATTTAAAAGTCAAAATATGTCAAGTAAGCCACCATTGTTAGCCAGTCAAATTCATGAAATCTGTCTTTACATTTAAATAGAACATCTTCTGCTGATAGAGGATGTCACTCCAAGAACAATAAAACTTCATCTTTCATTCTAAAGAGTTATTTAAAAATGTTTCCTTTTGATAGTCATTAAACCTCAGAGCTCATGTTTACTTCCTAATTATTTGTACAAAGCATACAACTTCTGCAGTGTAAAGGATGAGGTTTTGTGCAAATCAAAAAACATCACACATTCTTGAGGAATGGCATTCAAATGCGAGGGCATATTTTTCACCACTGTATCTTCCTCTAGTGCCACCACGCCCGGACTGGTGGAACAGTTTGGCCCCAGGAGAAGGGGTCTCCTCCTAGCCCAGCACCCTTCCAGTTGTTGTTGTTTTTTCCTGGTCAATATGCCTTTGAATCATAAATTCACTGATTAGCTTAATTGTTTCATCAGCACTTGTTCTTGCTGGAAGTGGTTTACTGACCAAAGTACTTCTTGAGGGCAGCCTTCATAATCATGTCTAACAAAACGGATCAAAGTGGCTGTCTGTTCTGACAGTGCTTTCAACTGTTTGTAAAAAACGGACTATTACGTGTTTAATAGAGGAATGTTTTCTCAATATTTTTGCCGTATCTTCAGCTTTAGGTTTCACTGAACTGTTGGATAAAGACAGGGAACTCAACTGATTTGCTCAACTTTTCCCATAAACCTGGAATGTGATAATGTAGGAAGCATTTTTGTCAATAGCGTGCAGATAACCTGACTCAACTATCAATATGGAAACTTCATGTGGAGTCAACACGAAGAAAGTGCATTTTTCATTTTATTTAGTAGAATGATCATGGATCATAGACCATAGGGATGCGAAGTCATCTTAGAGGCCCTCTTCCCCAACCCCCTGCAGGAATCCCCCAGCCCCCTTCCCCAGAAGACAGCCATCCAGCCTCAGCTTCAGCACCTCCGGTGAAAGAGAGCCCACCACCGCCCAGCACAGGGAGCTGGTTCCATTACTGAACAGCTTTTGCCATTAGGCCTTGTCCTCTACATGGCAGCCCTTCAGTTACTTGAAGATCT